ATTATATTTTAGTATTATATATTTTTTTTTTGGTAAATTGTTCAGTATTATATTGAGAGAGCACTTGTTAAACTGTTTACTTTTGTTAGGAAGAAAATACTTAGGCTACAGTATGTCTACTAGTTGTGAGGTTGTGTAACAGTTTTATCATTTTAATATGCACAAAGAGTATGCATATTTTTTATTATTATTTATTCATTTTTGGTACATTTCTTAAGAAGCATAATGTATATTTAAACTTTAAAAATACTGTGCGATATTAAGTATAAACCATGATGTTTTATTGTTCTACTATAGTAATGCTAATATTTAGAATAGTATTGAATTTAATAGGCGTCTCTCACATTGTCCCACAGCAACATTAAAATAGAATAAATTATTATTATAAAACATTAAACACTAATCTACACTAAGTGTCCATTTCATTAATTTAACATATTTAATACTGGGGGCATCCAAATTATTTGACATAGGCCTATTTGATTTTTTTTTTTTTAAGTAATGCAATAGTTACTTTCTCTGGTAATTAGTTACTTTTATAATGATGAAACTCAGTTACTAACTCAGTTACTATTTGTGAGAAGTAACTAGTAACTATAACTAATTACTTTTTTTAAGTAACATGCTCAACACTGGGTGCGAGTCACCATCCGCAGTGACACTGGGCCAGGAGGTGTTGCAGCAGGCTTTGTGGCCGCTGTTAGGCTTTATGCGACCCTTTTCTAGTCATGTGAATTATGATTACCTGCATGCGGTAGTGATTGCCTGAACTGGAACGCTTCTGAACGGATTGGATTGTGTTTTCCCCTGCAAGCTGCCTCTTCGACCACTCCTGCCTTTTACCGGAACGGCGCATTTGCTGTATGTAACTTTAATCCTGATTCAGATCATCAGCTCGTTAGGAAAGAGCTCTATGAACTGAACTGGGAGGGTCAGATAAAGGAGACATATAAAATGTGCCGAGCTGTGGGTCCCCGGGACCAGGATTGAAAACCACTGGCCTAAAGCACAGGATCTCAACTCTGGACCTCTAGATACACTTTCCTGCAAGTTTACCTCCAACCTTGATCAAGTTCACCTGCCTGTAGCTTTCTGGTAATCCTGGAGACCTTGATTAGGTTTGTCTAATTAGGGTTGGAGCTAAACTCAACAGGAAAGTGAATCTCGAGGGCCAGAGTTGCCCACATCTGGTGTATGGGGTCATATAGCAGTCACTAAGGGGAGCACTCATTGTAAAACCTAAAATGACAAATTAGACACCCTATGACAAAGTTTAGGAGGAGTCGAAAGCTGCTCCTGGAGGGCCACTATCCTGCAGAGTTTAGCTCCAACCGTGATCAAGCCCACCCGCCTGTAGCTTTCTAGAGGTCCTGAAGACCTTTATTAGCTTGTTCAGGGGCCTGTACCATGATGGCAGTTGAACAAACTCAGGGTAACAGGATTAGTTTTGAGTTGACAAAACCAAACCAATCCAACCAGGCTTTGTTGGTACCATGATGCGGATCATCAACTTCCTCTGTCGACTCAGGCTTTGATCCTGAGTTTAGGTGTGACATCAGCAGCGAACAGCCAATCACGCGCTGAGAAAGAGTGAAACTGCGATTAATTTCTCCCGAGAGGAGCAACGCGATTCACTTCTTTTTTCTGCAGAATATTACGAGATTGAAAAACATTAAGAATTTAAACAAATTTACACAGCGAGAAGAAAATAGCTGTCTATGAAAGGACAACTAAAAGAAAAAGCCTTTCTAAATCAGTGCAAGTAAAGGTTGTGAAGTTAGTTTATACAGCTGATAAAGGTATAGAGACAATTTAACTTTTAAACTCACATGCATGTTGTCATTTTATAGCTTAATCTATTAATTCTAAAGCGTGTTTATATTACCTTTATATAATTATGCATTTAAACTGTGCATAATAATAATTGATTTTTTTTTTTTTTTACATGTGTGATCGATTAAGTGTATAATAAATCATAAATAATATCTAAATCTCCAAAATTATTATTCTAAAGAAGCATTACTAAAAGCCAGACGATTTTGTCTTTAAAAAGCATTTGCTATGTAGTGACCTTTAATTTGGAGTAGAAACAGGTGGAGTGACTTTAGCGCATCAGACATGTGACACTTTGCTCACAGCTGATTGGTCCAAATTCGGTTTGCAACCTCTTACCTGGAGCATCACCTGTCCCGGACCAGGTTAGCCGTGGAGTGTAAGTTACTATGGCGATGAACACAGCTAAAAGCCAAACCACTTTCATGGTGCCTAAAACCCAGGGTTGGTGCAAACTAAACTAAAACATACCTGGCTAGCCACCTAAACCGGCTTCATGGTATAGACCCCAGGTGTGTTTTATTAGAGTTGGAGCTAAACAGTGGCTGTGTCTGAAATCGCCCCCTATATCCTTAAATAGGGCACTATTTCAGGCGACAGTCATTTGTAGTAGGGCTGCACTATTTGGGGAAAATGTCATATTGCGATTAATGAGGTCAATATTGCGATTGCGATATAATAAACAAATGGTTTCATGAGTCAACTTGCTCGGTTCTAAAGTAAAATGCACACACAGATTAGTGATCATTCTGTCTATTAATGTGTATTTCTCAACTCAAACTAGCAACAACAACTAAATGATTGATAACACCTATAATGATCAATAAACCATTGATGTCTGGATAAAAATGACGACACCCCCCACATTTTAAACGTTAATTATAGCCATCCAACATTACAGTGATTCCATCAATACAATTGAAAGCTATCAACTTTTAAATATTTATTAGGCTTAAAAAATAATAATAACAGCTTTTAAATTAAGTGAACTTCAAACAATCCTCACATAAACCCATAATAAATGCCATATTTACCTGTGCCCTTCCTGTCTTAACAGGTAGGATTGAGGATTTATATACAGATTTATATACAGAAATTGAATAAAGTTATCAAACAGTCTGCGCTGCATGAATTATAAATTATATATATAGACTAATCCTTATTAAACCCACAAAACTTCTTTAGTCAAGAGCAGTGAGTAATTTTCTGTTCCCTTTGTTCTTTGATTAACTTTACTGACGGAACGCTTTATTCGTTGCTGGCCCTTTAAGAGCAGCCGTTGCCGAGACGCGGATCTCTCACGCGCCTCATTCTCTCACAAGCACAACTCTTTTTGTCCATCATAAGACTGCTCTTATGTTATGAAGATAATCGACAAAACGACATTTTGGCATAATTGTGTGTGTTATTGTTCGTTCAAGCTCGAAAGAGAACTGTATTCTGGCACGCGGTCTGTGCATGCGCATTATACCAGAGACCCTATAAGGACTTTGATTATACTGGCGCGCGTTTTTCTGTGAGTCACATTCAGGACATTCACAGGCAGCGCGCTCTCTTTTGACTTCTTGTCGTGCAAAATGGTTTTAAGGCATTTGCACGAATAAGAGCGGGATCATGTAACACTAGTCAAAGGATGACAAAAAAGAAGAGATGCTGTGTTCATATAAAATCGCGGCATTTTGCGTTATATAATCGCATAGGTTTGACATCGCGATTACGATTGCGATTCGATTAATCGTGCAGCACTAATTTGTAGTGGTGTCCAAAACCATAGTGGACGCTATTGAGTGCACTCAATTAATCCCACAATGCACTGTGAGAGTCGAGTACCGAATGAATTCCCGCGTCTGACCAGAAGATGGCGCCACAGCTGAATCATCCATCCATTACAAACCGCTGGTCCAATGTGGCTACAGCGTAATATCATCCATATAAATCCTTTTTAATTGGTTATTAAATTGTTTAATTAAGGTTTATAGACAGTTTCCATGACAGAGTTTAAGATAAATCTTGTCATCTTCCTATTGGAGCTGCCAGTTTGCTAAGTTTCAAATAGCCTAATTATATAACAATAAGCACAAACTATACATAAGCAGCAGCTCATCCCATCCAAATTCACTCACTCGTTTTCATTCACTCACTCACTTGCATTCCCTTCAAGTGAATATATAGTGTATATAGACTATAGTGCTTCTCAGGATGCCTCCCTCATCAAACACACCCAATTCAAGTCTGTCAGTCTGTACTAATGAGCTGATGAGTTGAATCAGGGAGACAGTAAAGTTGTGCAGTGGTGTGGGTCCCCAGGACAGGTTTGAGAAGCACTGCATCAGTGGTCTAATGTAGGCAATAGTGCATGAGGGTATAGGGGGGCGATTTGCAACTCATTACTTTTCCCAGTGAACTGGACATGTCATGCACCTCACCTTATCACAAATATGGAGGCAAAATGCCAGGGTCTATTCATGATGTACAAATATACGAGTCATTTGCACCACAAGTATAAATTATGCCACTTTAGACTTCACAATGTTTAAGTTCTAAATTAAAGCACACCAACTTTTCTTGCCCTCTCTGGTTGTCTTTTTCCGTGACACTGGGCACAAGCTCTGTTTAACCTAACCCACAGCCCGAGGTTTCCGAGTCTCTCTGGGCTGATGCCCGCTGAAGCCATTAGACCACAGAGGAGGCCTGGAGGTCAGAGGTAAACCCCGCTTTCAGAGACGGTGTACATTCAAACAATTGTACAATATGTATTGTAAAAAGTGCTAAATGTGTCTTGACATTCACAGTAGGCTAGTGTGTCAGCGGAATTTGTTTACTGTCTGGAACGATTCCATGATTCATTTAAGTCACTTTTTTTTTACATTTCACCTTTCATTCTCTTGGAGTTACTATGAATAGGCTATCTATTATGTTTCATTTTAAAATGATGTTGTTGTTTTAAATAAGACTGTACCAGTCTTATTTAGCCTCTAATTGTGTTTTCGCCTTATATGTTCTTCATACGCCACTGACTGACCTCGTTCTCAAAAAAACAGTAGCCTACAGTTATTTACGAACGGATCGCGAATCGTTTCGACCGAATCTTTCGAAAGAACGACTGGTTCGCGAGTGTCCTGAACTAGAGACGGAGCCCGTGATTCAGCGCCTGCTATCGGCCGAGGTCAGATCGCATGTGCTCCACATTCCCTTCTGAATCTGAAGCGAAGCTCCGCCTCTGACCATCGCAAATCTGTGTGAGAGAGAGATGAGCAGGAGCAGAAAGCCGTCCTGATAAGTGAGGTCCAGAAGCGTCCCAGTCCAGTTGAGTGTCGGTTCGATGATGGCCGCGGCTGTGGAGAGAGGAGGGGTCCGGGCCGCCTTCATGAGCCCGGGTGTCGGTGCCCCCGCTCCCGCACCCGCACCCGCGGCGCCCGGGGGATCAGCCATGGCCGGAGCTCTGGGCTCGGGCTCGGGTGCGGCGGGTTCGGCTCCCATCATGCCCGTCCCCATGAATTTGTTTGCAACGTGGGAGATTGACCGCTCATCTCCGAGCTGTGTTCCGAGGTACATCAAACCTAGCGCTATTATTGTTGATGTGTGTGAATAAAGCTTCAGTGTTCATGCATTTGTCTGGTTGCATGCTTTTCTGTGCATGCAACATGGGCTTTAACTCGCGCATGTTATGCTTGAGGTCAAAACAAAACTCGTGCATTCAGTGTTGTGATGCTGGTGGATATATGAACACATGGAAACATGAGTATGTTCATTTTAAAGGACATTTATAGACATGCCAAGTGTCTGTATTGACAGAAATCATCAATAGTTTTAATGTGCTTGTTTGGTAAAGCAGGTCACTACAAATCATATTAATGCCATGTTGTGATGCTGAAAAACCTGATATTTGGAAACATGTTAGTGTTTTTTTATAGGCACATTCCTTTGTGTTTAGTTTGGTTTACACACACACACAAACACACAATTATAAACACACCCACTAAAGTTAAATAATTGCAAATCAAAGCCTGTGATTAACATCTACATAATCATTGTTTGATTTCAATATCAGTCTTCTGATATATGCTGTCAACATGCTATTGTCTCGTTATAGTCCATTAATATCATGTAATAGTAACTTTGCATAAATTTACTGAAAATGACTTGGTTTGGATTGAAAATGAGGATCGAGCATGTTTTAAAAGCGCATGTTAATTGCATGAAGGCTTTTTAAGTGCTCAAAAGCCCTTTTGTGTAGTTAAATCAATGCACATTTGAGCTTTGTAATGGCCATGATGAACGGCATTTGTTTGCAACAACATGCATATTCTGCATGATTTTAAGATCAGGTTATAAACATACAGAAGGCTTTAACAGTTATAAATGCTGCATGCATGAGTGTTGAACTGGCACAAAAGTGCGGCACGTTTTTGTGAAAGCAAATCCTTCCATATAATGTCTGAAAGATGAATAGTGAAGGAGTTGATCAGCTCTACGTGTATTTGCACTATGTGTGTTCATATAGACCTCTATAGGGTGAAATAAAATGACTTAATGTGCTCATCATCCCAATATTTTCAAGAATTATCAATATGTTATTCCATTTCCCCCGTTATCACTTTTTCTCACAATTGTGAGTTATCTCATAATTTACTTTTTTCTCAGAATTGTAAGATATAGTTTATATCTCACAATTTGGACTTTATAACTCACAATTGCAAGTTTATATCTTACAATTCTAAAGAAAAAGTCAGAATTGCTCGATATAAACTCGCAAATTGGCAGTTCATATAATATCGCGCAAAACTTTTTTCTCAAAATTGTGAGATATAAACTTGCAATTGCCAGTTATAAAGTCCAAATTGCGAGATAAAAGGTCGAAATTACCTTTTTTATTTTCTATTTCGTGGCGGAAAAAAGCTTCCATAAATAGGAAAATAGAAACAAATGTGATGTGTCACACTGGCACTTTTGGGAACGCTTCTTTTTACCTTTAAATTATAAGGACAAATAAATAAGTAAACAAATAAAATGTAAAAAATAAAAGCGCATTGAATATGTCTTAAAATGCTAAATAAAATATATAGCTACATTTCACTAATTAAAAGTAATTAACATGTGCTCTTGGTATTTGTCAATTTTTTTTTACAATATTTTACAGTATTTATATAATAGGACAAAGTATATCGTACTCCCATATGAATTAGTATAATCGCATTTGTACATTTTCAGCTTTAGGAGTGGACCTTCATGCTCATTTACTGATGAATGGAAAGCTAAGTGTGTTCCGCTCACTGGATTTTCTATTAATCAAGCATTATAAAGCATAAACAAGCACATCCAGAGTTTGTTGTTTTCAACTGTCAGATCAAATCTTAACATAAAACAGACAGTATTGTAGAGTTTGGGAATCTAAAACAAAATGCATTTAATGGAACATCAGATTCACTAAATATGGCAGTTTACACATATAAATTCTGGTTGCACTTTATATTACAGTGTACTTACCCAAGAAAGCAATGGTAATATAAGATAAGTACATGGGTTAAGGTTATGTTTAGTGCTAGGTTCAGGGTTAGTACCAAGTTATAATCCAGTTACTGTAATAACTATGAGTACATACACAGGGAACAGGACTGTAAAATAAAGTGCTACCTAAATTCTGGTCATGGATGCAGTATTTGACAATACAATGGCCTTGACTATGTTTGCAATATATCACAAATGTTTTAGTTCGGTATGTAGCAAGTGTGGCTGTGTTCCACCTTTCTGTTGTTGTTGTTGGATGATGGCTGAGTACAGCGAGTGTCTTACGGATAGCACATTACGCTCCACAGAGAGCAGAGAGAACTGGTGGGACTAGATCAATCAGCTCGGCCCAGATGTGTCTCGATGGCGTCGGTAATGAGAGCAGAACCGTGTCTCGCGCTGGGACTCGCGGGCGTCCCTCATGGATCTGGACTTCAGTGGTTCACAGTCTCAAAGAAAGGCCAAATGTGAATATCACTGAAATGCCAAAGCTTTTTCTGCTCTGCTTCACACAGCGTGATGTCCTGAAGAACGATAGCTCTCCTAGACCCATTGGGCTTGGGAATCGAGAATCTGTTCTGTTCCAGAATGGTTCCTTTTCCATTTTCCCAGTTCTGTTAATGGATAATTGTACTTAAATGTTGTGAGAGTTCAGTGTTCTGAGTCGTGACTTGCATCACAATGGCTACGTTTACATGCAACCAAATAATCCATTACACTCTAACAAAATGCTGGGTTGTTTTAACCCAATTTTGAGTCAAATATGGACAAACTCAAACATTGGGTTAAAAATGTAATGAAAAAAATGTAACCCAATGGGTGGGTTTGTCCATATTTGACCCATATTGGGTTAAAACAACCCAGCATTTTAATCGGATTGACGGCTCAATCGGACTGAAAAGCCTTCATGTAAACGCCTTAACCGATCCGATTGAGCTCGATCCCAATAAAACTTCCATCGGATTGAAAGGGCTGGTTTATTCCTTTACTAATCCGGTCGAGAGGACATGTGAACACTTGATCGGATTGAAAGGGCTGGTTTATTCCTTTACTAATCCGGTCGAGAGGACATGTGAACACTTGATCGGATTGAAAGGGTTGGTTTATTCCTTTACTAATCCGGTCGAGAGGACATGTGAACACTTGATCGGATTGAAAGGGCTGGTTTATTCCTTTACTAATCCGGTCGAGAGGACATGTGAACACTTGATCGGATTGAAAGGGTTGGTTTATTCCTTTACTAATCCGGTCGGGAGGACATGTGAACACTTGATCGGATTGAAAGGGTTGGTTTATTCCTTTACTAATCCGGTCGGGAGGACATGTGAACACTTGATCGGATTGAAAGGGCTGGTTTATTCCTTTACTAATCCGGTCGGGAGGACATGTGAACACTTGATCGGATTGAAAGGGCTGGTTTATTCCTTTACTAATCCGGTCGAGAGGACATGTGAACACTTGATCGGATTGAAAGGGTTGGTTTATTCCTTTACTAATCCGGTCGAGAGGACATGTGAACACTTGATCGGATTGAAAGGGCTGGTTTATTCCTTTACTAATCCGGTCGAGAGGACATGTGAACACTTGATCGGATTGAAAGGGTTGGTTTATTCCTTTACTAATCCGGTCGGGAGGACATGTGAACACTTGATCGGATTGAAAGGGTTGGTTTATTCCTTTACTAATCCGGTCGAGAGGACATGTGAACACTTGATCGGATTGAAAGGGCTGGTTTATTCCTTTACTAATCCGGTCGAGAGGACATGTGAACACTTGATCGGATTGAAAGGGTTGGTTTATTCCTTTACTAATCCGGTCGAGAGGACATGTGAACACTTGATCGGATTGAAAGGGTTGGTTTATTCCTTTACTAATCCGGTCGAGAGGACATGTGAACACTTGATCGGATTGAAAGGGTTGGTTTATTCCTTTACTAATCCGGTCGGGAGGACATGTGAACACTTGATCGGATTGAAAGGGCTGGTTTATTCCTTTACTAATCTGGTCGAGAGGACATGTGAACACTTGATCGGATTGAAAGGGCTGGTTTATTCCTTTACTAATCCGGTCGGGAGGACATGTGAACACTTGATCGGATTGAAAGGGTTGGTTTATTCCTTTACTAATCCGGTCGAGAGGACATGTGAACACTTGATCGGATTGAAAGGGTTGGTTTATTCCTTTACTAATCCGGTCGGGAGGACATGTGAACACTTGATCGGATTGAAAGGGCTGGTTTATTCCTTTACTAATCCGGTCGAGAGGACATGTGAACACTTGATCGGATTGAAAGGGCTGGTTTATTCCTTTACTAATCCGGTCGAGAGGACATGTGAACACTTGATCGGATTGAGAACCGAAACTGAAAGGACTGCGCATGTGCAATGACGTAGAAATAGCGTAATGACGAGCGGAACGAGCCGATCTTCCTGTTGAATAAAGTGTCGTATAAATGAGTGTCCCGTCATTATAATTCTCCTTTCATTCCTCAGCGTCTGTCAAATCTATTACGATTTGCTATTACGAAGCTTGTGACATATAATCGCGCACATCAACCCGATCACGTTTAGCGTTCATGTATAAACTTTCAGAAGGAATTCAGGAATTTTTGAAACAAAAGTTGTGCATGTAAACGTTGCAATTGTTTAGTGTTTCGTAAAGTAGTTTCCATCATCCAGTGCGAGACTATAGAGCTGCCCTACAGATATACAAATGACCAGGGCCACGCATAGATCGTTCCCCTTGTCCTAGCGAAGACAAACGCGTGTAAAGCCATCCAGGCATAGATCAGCCCGCAGTAATCAAACACGCGGCTCCATCAGTTCACGCAGCCAGAGCTGGTCAATTATTCATGCTCCTTCATTGGGCCTTAATTGGTGTGGGACTCCGTGTAGGGTCATTATTTCTGATGAAACGCCAGCTGATGTCGGCAGGGTACATGATGTTGTCCTTTCCCAGAGATCCATGTGGTGGAAACACACGCATCACTGTACCTCTTGAAAGCCATTGGTTTCCGTCGCTCGAGGATCCCTCGGGAAATC